GCCATACCCTGAAGAGATACTAGTTACAAGGCAGTTCCAAGCTAGCTTCAGTTTTCCACTGCGGAAAGGTCGGCTCGGTAAAGGCGTTGCCTTCTGAGGTGTTTTAAAAAGTGTCATCAAACCAGATAGATAGAAATGTGGACTGCGGTGGGCCAGGCAGTTTGGGTCCAGATGAAGACTGGTTTGCCACACAGTCTGTGGTGCTTAGCATTTGTGCAGGACACAGACAGCACAGGAGGTCATAGGGTTTAAGAGGTACAACGGGAGCGTGGATGCATGTGGGTGTCTCCCCCTGTGCAAAAAACACCCTGTGTCCTGGCTGGGAAAGCACGCTTTGGCCCTTTTGTGGTTTGCTGACATTGGGATCACTCCCAGACAGCCTGCAAGAACACAAACACACACACACCTGTGCCCACCCTGGCCTACACAGCTGGCCTGGCAGAGCACTCTGTGCTGTGGGATAGCTTTGCTTATAGGAGCGAGATCAGAGGCTCAGGAGTGGGGCCAGACATGAGCAGGTGGGAGGCAGGGGGGTGAATCACCACCCTGGTGCATGTTTTGCAGGCCTGCCCTGAGGATATTCTATGCCAAACACCCCTCTTCCCAGGGGACACTGACAAACTGGTAAAAAATGACCATACAGCCTTTGCCTTGTGTTCAACTGTACAGATTAACTATTAGCCAAGGAGCAGCTCTCCCAGGAAGGCCTACAGTGAGAGCCAGTGGCACTCCCAGACATTTCCCATAGGGGTGGCAAGATAGGGCCACTGAAAATTTTGAGGTGGCACCAAAACCAAAATCCATGATTGAATTTCAGGAATTCCATTATGCTGCTGTAGTATGCAGACTAGATTAAAACCAATATCAATATCCCTCCATATGATGAGAGTCAATATCAGAGTTAGGGAATCAGATACTGATATATTTTTGTTTCTTATTTTACAGTTAAGGGTATTAATTATCTGATACGCATAGACTATCCTGGCAGTTAACATTTTGAGTTACACAGCAAACCTGTTTCAATGTGGTATGTTTCTGTATATACATGTGTTAGGCAGTTATTTTCTTTCACATGAACTACAGTGGTACCTCAGAACTCGAATTTAATCTGTTCCGGACTCCGGATCGAATACTAAAAAGTTCGAGTTGTGATCTAATTTTCCCCATAAGAAATAATGGAAAACCAATTAATTGGTTCTCGGCCCCAAAAAATTACACCTAAATATGTTATTTTTTTTAGCATTTAAACACAAATTGAACCGGATAAAACAAGAAGAGCATATACTGTACTAAACACATCTAAGCACATTTATCAAAACAGTAATTTGTAAAGTAAGGAAATAAATGTATCCAAACAATGTATAAAGTTAAAAAAACAATGTCCTGCCCCGATCGCCCGCTCCTTCCGTGTGTCACGCCCCCTCGTTAACCCCGTGTTTATGCTTCTGGGCTTCACCTGGTAACACCATGTTTCAAGTCACAAATCCTGTGAACTGTAGGTAATTCCCTCAAATGAAGTCTACAATAGTGTGCATACTGGGCTCTAAATGTCTGCAAGAGAGCCCACATGCACTTCATGTTTTTTACAGTAGGACAGCCGCAAGCTGTCAAGGACTTAGTAGTCCGTGAGTCTGTCATTGTGGACATTGGGATTAGGTCTTTGAGTGTTTCATACATAGTTTTTGCTTAGGCAACATTGATATGACAGATAGACTTGCAGTCAGATATTTTAGACATGCTTGCAAGCCAGGCTTCTATGCATGGTGCTTGGGAGATGTCTCAACAAGACAGGATAGACTACTAATAACATGAATAAGTTTCAAATACAGTTAGAGGTGCTGTTTCATAGCATTCATTCATTCATTCATTCATTGAGTTGCATGCATTCTGGGCCCAAGAAGTCAGTTCAGAGACAGGGGCTTCCAAGGTGACCCATTATAAAAAGCCTGAATGATACACAGCATGTATAAAAGTATACAATAGCCATGGATTATGCTTAACAATCCCTATTTTTGTTCCAACCTGCCCGCTAATCAGCCACAAGTGCACATGAAATGAACTGTGACCACTCAGCCTGCTCTGATATCCCACAGAAAGAGGAAAGAAAAAATACTGCAGTCTATAAACATGATGAGCATAAGCACAGGCTAATACTGCAGTCTATAAACATGATGAGCATAAGCACAGGCTAATACTGCAGTCTATAAGCATGGTGAGCATAAGCACATGCTAATACTGAAGGCTATAAACATGATGAGCATGATAGATGATGGCTGTGGCCCTTGCCAGAGGCACCTGACCACTAGGGGCACACTGTTTTCAGAGGCGAAGTTTGGTAATAAAGAAAGATTCAAAAAATGAAGTGGGTAAAATTAAGTGGGGTGCAGAATAGGTGCAGCGTTCAAGAGCATCAAAAAAGTTGAAGATTTAACAAAAGTGACACATAATATAATAGGTGATATTGACGATAATGACCTGCAACTGGAGATTGGTGTAGCTCTCAAAAACTACCCCGTAGACAGGGGTGGATGATCCCAAAAAATTCCTCAAAAATCTGAAGCATAATTAGATTGATCCGGGTTGTGAGACCAATATGATTTACTTTCATGGGGCCCAAAATCACTAGCAGCGCCCCTGCCCAATATGTGCAGCCGAATCACCTACTGATGTTATCATTGCATTTACACAGGGGGGGGGGGGGCTCCTGGAATAATATCCAAACCCTAACAATGTAGCAGATCCACAATACACAAAGACACCTCCAGCAGAAAACAGCGAAAATCATGGCAAAAAGCAGACCGTTGGTGGAAAAGAGTGAATGAAATGTTTGTAAAGAAAGCTGCAGCCCTCCATGGCACTGTCACGGATAAGCATACAGACCGGCGTGGCTTCTGTGGTATGAGCAGAAAGATAGTATTTGTACTGGCAGGTCATATTAAGCTGCCATGGTCATATATATACCACAAGACAGGAGAATTAATACATGTTACACCAGTCAAAGGCTTAGACTTGCCAAGCTGCCCACAAAGGAGAGTGACAGTGTCACATTACATAATCTGGCCACCTGACCTCAATATAGTAGAAATGCTTTTGAGGGTGTTTGACCAGAGAGTGAAGGAAAAACAGCCAATGAGTGCCCAACATATATGTGGGACCTCCCTCACGACAGCTGCAAAAGTATCCCAGGAGGCCATCTCATGAAACTGGCAGGAGTAACTGGAGACAGTAGGGTCAGCCAATCCCTGTGGCAGTTTGGGTTAAGGGCCTTGCTCAAGTTGTGGGATCACTCTGCCTACCCAGGGATTTGAACCAGCAACCTTCTGAGTCCCTACCCACAGAGCTGCTCCCTGCCCCACCAACTTTTCCTGTGCCTCAGTGTCCTGGTTCCCATATCTTGTTCAACTTCCTTGCTAAGCCCTAACGTTGCACTGTGGTCTTTGTGGTAATGGATCATTTTTCTAAGTGTCATCTCATTCTACCTCCTAAGCTGCTATCTGCCAAGGAACTAATATTTTGGGGGTATGGCATGTCAGAGGACTTTGTCAGGGACCAGAGTCCTAAGTTCATAGCCAAGTTCTGGAGAATCTTCCCTGATGAATGGAGAATGTGAGAGGTTGAACCTAGACATATTGAGGTTCCTCCACTCTTACCATGCCATTGGCAGTAGCTGGAAGACTGGGAGGGGTTCGGAGGGGAGGAACAGTCTTAGGTTCCTGTGTCGGACATCCTAGATCCATCGTTAATTGCCAGTGGGATGTGAGAAAAGAAGCATTCCAGTCTACCCTCACGCGTATATGTTCATGTATGACAAATAAAACATCATCGTTGTTATTTATGTGCATGTCTTTTGACTGCAGGAGTAAAGAGGAACTACACACAACACAGGAAGAACAAGCAAACTCCACACCTTACAGAATGGGGGTGGGATTTCAACCATTGACCCGGGGAGGTTTTGACCAAGTGTTCCTCACTGTCAAATACAATTTTTTCCATGTCCCTCAGCAGTCTAGCTGCCTTTCTTAATGATATTGGTGGTTCTTTGTAAGCTTTGTACTGTATGTGAACTTAACCTAATGTGACCTTTTATCATAACCAACAGTTAACTAATAAAAGGTTAATTGAAACAGTGGAATTTAATCATCTCATGTCGATTAAGTTTCATAAAGATTATATTATTTGATTGTGCAAGCTGCAACTAGCTTGGTTAGTTAACACCATGGCACAAATGGAAACGCGTCAAGGCATAAGAATGAGCAAAAAGCCGGTCAAAAAATGGGGCCAGACCTGTCATTTATTACCATAAAGTTACTCAATTACCAGAAACTCAGAATCATTTAGTTCATAAACAGTGCTGCCAGATGGTCCCATTTATTATTATTAAGAAGAGATTCAGTAAATCCCCATTATTAACTTCTAAGGGTTTCTAGATCTTCTAGTTACTATATATTTTATGTGTGTTGTATTTCTTTCCAGAACGTTAGGATGTTTGTGACAGGAGAGTGACATGGGCATCATAGTCGACCCTAAGGTAAGGTTATTTTTCCACAATAGATGGCCTGACATTCGTGGAGAAATCTCGCAAATTGTGCAGAATTTTAACAATTCCCGCAAATTCATTGTTCATAATACGGGAATTAACGTAAAAGCTACCATATTAGTGAAGATGAATAACATTAAAACGAAAAGATACATTTCACGGTATATACTGTAACTATAACAGTAATAAAAGACGAACTGTATACACCGCGACTACAGAATCGCCTTATAAGGCCGACGTGACGTCACACCTCTGACCCCGGTATACCCGTCCGTCCCCCACAATGTTAACATGAAACCTAGTCCCCTAATTATACTGGTTTTTTACAATTCTTTTGTATGAAATATGTATTTTAAAAGTCCACTGTAGCATGCTACCGTAAACCGCGCCTATCACCATATGCCTAGTTATTAGGAGTATAAAACAGCCATTGTGAAACACGCGGCCCGTCAGTCTTGCTCAGCCACGCTGTGGCGGATGTGTGCAAGCGCGGACCCTATTGGCCGTATGTGGAATTAGCGGGGCTGGACTCGCTATCGCTTCCATTAAGCGGAGCCTTCGCGATCCGGCCGTGCATTTCGCCGTGGAGCCGCGTCGCTATTTGGCTGCTTCACAGCAATAAAGTGCCAGTGTGGAGTACCGCGCAGGGAGACATAGGCGACAGCTGTTTTCTGGTACTTTTCCATTCTTCTAGATTTCATAAGGCTATTATTTTTCTTTATTTTGTTTGGGTTTTCACGTGAATGGGATACTCTGTGCGATACAGGCTAGGGAATTTGGGGGCAGACCGAGTCCGCTGCGACCACTGTGCTCTGAAAATACTTCGAGGAAAGTGATATCGCTATTTACCAACTTCGGACAAGCTGAGATTTGGAGTCGGCAAGCAGTGGGTCATTTTAGAGACTTCCTATTTGCTAGAGACCTGCTGTCAAACATGTATCTATTTATTTTTAAACGATTATTATAATCAGTCAAACGGACACATTTTTATAAACAAGATTTCATTACATTGTTGTGTAAACGAGATTTCGTTACATTTGTTGCTTGCGGAACACGGGTTGAAACTATCTGCTTTTAGTTCTGGGCGATGCAGATTACTGAGCTCCTAGATGGAAAATGCTCTTAAAAACTACTGGCTGTGTACTGTGGAGTTTGCAGTAGTTAAACGGAAATACATTACGGTGTATCCTTGATTTTCCTTTGCAGATTGTTTTCTGGATGAGCCATTGAAAATTGCTTTGCATTTTTGCTATCAGGATTTTGTTTGACGCACTTCCATTACCGACTTTTCTTATCGACGCCTGAAAGGTAATCACGGTGCGGGGAGTTTCGCCTCGGCTTTCCTTGTTTTGAGCTGTCCCAGAAATGGTGGGGCACTTACACTTGCAAGCTATGGATGACAGTCTGAAAGGAAAGAACCGGGAGGGCTTGCTCGACAGTCCGGATTCCGGACTGCCCCCGAGCCCCAGCCCGCCTTTCTACTCGTTGTCCCCGGCTCTGGTGGAGCCGCGCCCCGGGAGCTGCGCTACACCCACCGATCAACATGGACAATGGAGGAGAGAAAGCAGAGAGGGAAAGCTGGTAAGGAAACAAGTCAAATATATTCTTCAAACGATAGATGCGACACTTTAAACAGCGCATGGAGTAAACGTCAGTGTTTGAACAGCATCGCAGATTAGGGTGATGGATGGATGGATGTTCGGTCGGTCTGTATGCCTTACCGTGGAAAAGACGGTTACCCCGACAGGTCTGTGAGAAGGTGTTCCCAAAACAAAATGAAAGTTCATATAATTTCATTCATCACTAGGTTTCATTCTTATATGTTGCCCATTCACGATTGACGTAATGTAGGCCTATATATTTTCAAGGGATATTTAAACACAGGTGCAATCGATATTATCACAGACATATGAAATAAGCGTTAGATTGACCTCAACATCAGCATTTTTGCCTAAATTAATATCATGAATGTCATCAAGTCTATGTCCATTGTTTACACCCTTAAATGCAGATGAGCACATACAGTTTGTTCATGTGTAAATTATTTACAATTACTGACATTAATAATGGTGACACATTGTACTGCTAAGGTGTCAGATGTAGGAAATACTATCCTTGCCTTTGATTTATCAGCCGAGCCACTGATAATGAATATTTAATTTGGTTTGTTTATGAGTTTATTGAAAATAAGAAAACATACATATTTAAATAATATTTTTTATTCCAGTTATGAGGATAGACAGTCAGGGAGGCTGCAGTCCCACTGGCAACCAATCTTTTGGTTAACAGGTGCTGAGCTTTGAGTAATTTAATCTGTGAATCAAAAGGTGTTCATACGAAGAAAAACTTGAAGAAAAAATTAAAAATTTTGGATCATGTTGCTGTTGTTTGACAGAACAGACGATACAATGATATGCCTGACATTTTCCACAAATGATTTCTTAGCTTTGTCAAGTTTGATAGTAAATGGTATAATGACTTGTGAAATGGTCATTTCCAGCGCATTAGCAGAGCTCTGCTGCTCCCAGCTTGAGCCGTGACTCTCTTTTTAACCCACAGCTCAGACTCTATACCTCTTCATATCACATCAGCAGAGCTCTGCTGCTCCCAGCTTGGGCCGTCACTCTCTCGTTAACCCACAGCTCAGACTCTGTGCCTCTTCATATCNCCTCTTCATATCACATCAGCAGAGCTCTGCTGCTCCCAGCTTGGGCCGTCACTCTCTCGTTAACCCACAGCTCAGACTCTGTGCCTCTTCATATCACATCAGCAGAGCTCTGCTGCTCCCAGCTTGGGCCGTCACTCTCTCGTTAACCCACAGCTCAGACTCTATACCTCTTCATATCACATCAGCAGAGCTCTGCTGCTCCCAGCTTGGGCCCTGACTCTCATCTCTAACCCGCAGCTCAGACTCTATGCCTCTTCATATCACATCAGCAGAGCCCCCCCCCCCGCAGGTTCTCTCCCTAAACAGAGATGGGGCATCCCAGCACCACAGAGTCCTCAGCATGTCATCTACATCTGCCTGCCTTGTATCTTACCGCTCGTCCAGGTTGTGGTGTTTGTAGGCCAGTAGCAGGGGGGTGAGTACTGAGAAGCTTAGGGGTGCCTGGGGTAAGCAGAGCTCACCTCTCACTAATGGTGCCTGGGGTAAGCAGAGCTCACCTCTCACTAATGGTGCCTGGGGTAAGCCCGCCGCTCACCTCTCACTAAT